GATGCAATAATGTAAAGGCGTTTAATGAAGACAATCTCAAACAATGGGTGGAATTTTCTCCTCCCTGGAGGGAGTGAAAGAAATGGTGAGAAGGTGAAACAATTGAGTGGGTTTGCCCTGGAGAGAAACTTAACTGAACAAAAAAAAAGAACTGTGGAAGCTAGAAATCAGAAACAAAATCAGAAATTGCTGGAAAAACTCAACAAGTCTGGCGCCATCTGTGGAGAGAAAACAGAGTTAACATTTCAGATCCAGTAACCCTTCGACAGAACTTCAGAGAATCTCAGATAACAAGGTGTAGAGCTGGATGAACACAGCAGGCCAAGCAGCATCATAGGAGCAGGAAGGCTGACGTTTCGGGCCTAGACCCTTCATCTTGTTTTGCCCCCTTCTTTATTAAGTGCTGGGAAAGAAGTTTCACAGGGGCTTTTCTCAACTCACCTGTCATTAGGCCCTTAAGTGGTCAATTAATGGCAACTTAATGGTGTCAACTCACCATCTGCCCCATTACCTGTGCCCCCAGTGGGCAAGAAGATGGCTAGTTTTCAGATTGGAAAGCAAAGGCAGCTGGTTCACTGAGTGGGGAGGTGGTTCCAGGGATGGTCTCTGGAAGCCAACACCTTGGCCTTGCCTAAAACACTCCTGAGCACCCTCTCTCTGCAACCGGCTGACCTGTGGACTTTAGGACCCAGCAGCTGCTGGCCTGTGATTGGTCAGCAGCTGAGTGACAAGTCTTATGATTGGGCAAGAAATTTGTATTTGCTCACCTGCCAGCTCTTAATGAGTTGATTGGTGGCAATGTGATGACGTATTTTGCTGTCACTCCCTAATACTCTTATCACCATACTGAAAAAGAAAGGGGAAATCACAGCCAATGTTTAATAGCTCCAATCATGGCTAAAAGAAATTGATTAAATTAAAATTTAATCTATAGGCAGGAGCAGAGGCAGGAAAGGGCCCAGAATCAGATTCCTGAGTGAACTGTGGCCCTCCAAGCCACCTCACCTCTGTGCGATTTTTGACCACGCACCACTCGGGTGGTTCAGCAATTTAGTGCAATGAAGTTTGATTTTGAAATTTTTCATTGAAGGTACAGAGACCACAAAGATTTGAAACAACCTCCTTGAATAAGAGACGGCATGACAGCAGGGAGCCAGCACAAAGGCAGGTTCATTTACATCAGGGTATTAAAGTGAATGGGCTTGGAGAGATGCACAACCAGCGGTAGTGACCACTGAGTGTACAACGCTTGCAGTCAGGTAGCTCTGTAACCATTGGAATGCTTGATGGAGGGAAATTAGAATGCAAGTGCAAACAATGGGGTCCAGATAGTCAGAGCCTCACTTCTGAAGGAAAGGGGTGTGAAACATGGAGGTGGGACTGAACTCCTTGAATTTGGAGATAAGGAGTGATGAGGAGCAGCTGCTCAAACAGCAAATGCAAGCCATTGACCCTGAGATACATAGAGGTGCTGGAGGAGAGGTAGGGAGGGAATGAAGGCAATCCATTGGTATTGCACGCAAATACAGCAATACCCCTTTCTCCATGACACTGAGATCTAGTCTAGCCTTTGGAACCAGATATCCTGTCCATGTGTGCCAAAAGTCCTTTAATGCCACATAAATTACAGATATCAAGGAAAGCTGAACAGGTTTTGAGTGGGTACAATTCTGCAAGAGCATTTGTTGATTTGTTGATATATGACTGATGTGGCACTTTATTATGCCCAAAATATTCTTCTTAAAGGCTTCAAGAGACAAAGATGGGTGGAGGGACAGGTAGTGTTGAGGAAGCAGGGAGGCTGAAGAAGGATTTGGACAGGCGAGGAGAGTGGGCAAAGAAGTGGCTGATGGAATACAATGTGGGAAAGTGTGAGGTTATGTACTTTGATAGAAAGAATCAAATAGACTATTTTCTAAATGGGGAAAGGCTTCGGAAATCTAAAGCACAAAAGGGACTTAGGAGTCCTCGTTCAGAATTCTTTTAAGGTTAACATGCAGATTCATTTAGCAGTTAGGAAGGCAAATGCAATGTTATCATTCATTTCAAGAAGACTAGAATACAAGAGCAGGGATGTACTGCTGAGGCTGAATAAGACTCTGGTCAGGCTGCATTTAGATTATCGTGAGCAGTTTTGGGCTCCATATCTAAGGAACGATGCACTGGTGTTGGAAGGAGTCCAGAGGAGATTCACAAGAATGATCCCAGGGATGAAGGGCTTGTCTTATGAGGAACAGTTGAGGACTCTGGGTCTGTACTCAATTGAGTTCAGAAGGATGAGGGGGGATCCAAATGAAACTTATAGAATACTAAGAGGCCTGAATAGAGTGGACATGAAAAAGATATTTCCACTAGTAGGAGAGATTAGGACCCAAGGACACAGCCTCGGAGTGAAGCGATGACTGTTTGGAATTGGTGAAGAGGAATTTCTTCAGCCAGAGAGTGATGAATCTGTGCAACTCCATGCTGCAGAAGATTGTGAAGGCCACATCATTAGACCAGAGATAGGTAAGTTCTTTATTAGTAAGGGGATCAAGGGTTACAGGGAGAAGGCAGGAGAATGTGGTTAAGAAACATATCAGCTACAATTGAATGGTGGAGCAGACTTTACGGGTCAAATGGCTAATTCTGCTACTATAGTTTATGGTCTTAATTGGTGCAGAAATGATGACTAACTCAATGAGTCTCTCTGACAGTTCCTCTTCCTAAAAGTCCTCTCTTTTGCTGTGGCATCTTCCACCAAATGCAAAATAAACTCTTGGGATTGCTGTCTGACTTAGACTTTTATTCCTCATGTTAACCTTTACTTTGAGTTTGTGTTTGAGTAATTTGCAGATCTTTACAGGATTGCTGTGACAATCCATGGTCAGACTGAATGTGTTAATTCTTTGAAGTCCCTCCTTGGTAATGGCAAGCAAGATTTTCAGAGTTGTTTCCTTGGATAAGCTATTACTTGATGTGTAAGTTAGTATGTTTGTTTGAACGGTTGTAAACTAATAAGGATATCATGGAGATAGTAGGAACTGCAGATGCTGGAGAATCCGAGACAACAATGTGCAGGGCTGGATGAACACAGCAGGCCAAGCAGCATCATAGGAGCAGAGAGGCTGACATTTCGGGCCTAGACCCTTCATCAGAAAAGGGGGAGGGGAAGGGGGTTCTGAAATAAATAGGGAGAGAGTGGGAGGCGGATAGAAGAGGGATAGAGGAGAGGATAGGTGGAGAGGAAACAAACAGGTCGAAGAGGCGGGAATGGGGCCAGTAAAGGTGAGTGTAGGTGGGGAGTTAGGGAGGGGATAGGTCAGTCCAGGGAGGACGGACAGGTCAAGGGGGCGGGATGAGGTTAGTCGGTAGGAGATGGAGGTGCGGCTTGAGGTGGGAGGAGGGGATAAGTGGGAGGAAGAACAGGTTAGGGAGGCAGGGACGAGCTGGACTGGTTTTGGGATGCGGTAGGGGGAAGGGAGATTTTGAAACTTGTGAAATCACCTCATCTTTACCATGGACGTCCAGTCCCTGTACACCTGCATTCCCCATGCAGATGGCCTTAAGGCCCACCGCTTCTTCCTGTCCCGCAGGCCCGACCAGTCCCCCTCCACTGACACCCTCATCCGCTCAGCCGTCCCTGCCTCCCTAACCTGTTCTTCCTAACTCCCCACCTACACTCACCTTTACTGGCCCCATCCCCGCCTCTTCGACCTGTTTGTTTCCTCTCCACCTATCCTCTCCTCTATCTATCTTCTATCCGCCTCCCACTCTCTCCCTATTTATTTCAGAACTCCCTTCCCCTCCCCCTTTTCTGATGAAGGGTCTAGGCCCGAAACGTCAGCCTCTCTGCTCCTATGATGCTGCTTGGCCTGCTGTGTTCATCCAGCCCTGCACCTTGTTGTCAAGGATATCATGGATGCTGACCAATCCACAATGAGGTTTCTGCTGTCATTGAAACTGCCTTGAAAGCTTTGTACCATACCACCTCAAGTCACATTTCCCTGACTTGATGTCAGTTTGGATTAAAACTGCTGTTCCACTTGCATTGGTCCCTTTAAGCTATACCTTTAAGAATTGCAGGCTGATCGTGGCAGGTTTCTTCTTGTAGTTCTGGTTAGTACAAAAAAGGAGATGACTTACATCACACTGATTTGGAGAAAGAAAATGATGCAATCAAATAATGTTTGCAAGCTTCTTAATGAATAAAAATGCCTTTTGAAGTGATCTCTCAGTTAATATAGAAACATAGAAGATAGGAGCAGGAGGCCATTCAGCCCTTCGAGCCTGCTCCGCCTTTCTTCACGATCATGGCTGACATCCAACTCAATGGCCTAATCCTGCTTTCTCCCCATAACCTTTGATCCCATTCACCCCAAGTGCTATATCTAGTCGCCTCTTGAATACATTCA